TATACCAAAGCCTCATGCTTTTGAACCATCTAAAGGTTCAAGTGAGAAGTACGAGCATTTACAACATTTTGTAGGATATAAAAATAATTAAGTCCATCTAAAATTTTTATTTTTATATCTTTATGTTGTTGATATATTGGTTGTTTCATTTTTAATATCTTTACCAGCATATTTTAGCACATTTTATTGCCTTCAATAAAAACTTTTAACATATTTTATTAAATTAGTTGACATTAATTTGCCAAACTGGAAAATTTTATTTACAATTTCTTAATCTTTTTTCGAAATTGAAATTTATAAACTTTAAATTTAAATTTTTTATTATTTAAAATAAATTATTTAAGTTTTTTATATATTGTAAAAAATATTTATTGATTTATTTTCTAATTATATTTTGTTTTAATTAAAATTTATTTAATTAAAAAGTTCATTTTATTTAATTATTTTTTTTTTTTTTTTTTGAATAAATAAATAAATTTGCATACACTTTTTTACTAAAGTACTGAATTATAATGCGTCCTAGTTGGTTCCATAATTATCTGCTGAGAATGCTGAACACATGTGAAAGCTTAATTAATATATGTATTCTCAACACATATAGTACAAAATTGAGCCGATAAATGGCCTATTTAAATAACAATTCTGATCGTATCAGCTTCCTTCTTGTTGAAGAGGGATCGTATCTAAGCCTCTATTGTTAGTCACAGCCATCATGAACCCAACCAAGTACCATGGACAACAAAAGTTGTGGGCACGTAAATCCTCATTTAAAAAACTCATTTAAAATTTATTTTCATTACTCTTTTTTTTTAATTATTTAACCACAGAAGAATATTCATTTAAATAAATCAGTGTTATGTCATGTTTAGACTATTATATTTAACTCGAAAAATATGCAACAATATGCGGTATTTTTTATACAAAATCCATACAAAATTCATATTTAAATATAAAACAGATTTAACAAACCTCTAAATGTAAACATAGTATATACTATACTATGAATATAATTTGTTTTTACTATTACTATTATTATTATATTATTAATAAATTGTTATTACAACCAATTATCAATACGTTTTTTCATATTATTATTGGGCTAACGACCTAATAAAAATAATATAAAAAAAAAGAAATTATTATATTATATTATTTACTATTATAATAATTTAATATAAAAATAATATTAAATCCTTAACCAAACCAAAAATCAATTGTATTAAATAATATCATATATCACAGTTGTTAATTTATCTAAATTGCAATATTGAGTGAATTCAAATAATATTTTAAAATTATTTAATTTTAGAATTTAACAAGACACATGTTTATAAATGTTCTCTTAAATATTTATTTTAATCAATTTATATTTATTTTCAACAATTTCACAGCCTAGGTGCCATTGTAGGTATTTTTATACTTACCATAAATCATAATCCGTATTTGCCAAAGGTTCTTAAATTGTTAGAAAACACCTGAGTGTGAAGATTTACATATTTTGTTTGTTTTAAATTAAATACAGAAAATATTTTACTAAATAAGCTTTATGAATAATATTTGTTTTGGCAATTGTACACAGTATATGTAGGTATATGTAAATAACTAATTTTTAATGACAAATGATCAAATATTTCATAACATAAAACAATTTTATGTCTTAATAATATATGTATTTGAGTAATAAACCAAATATAAATATTAACAATTAAATACATTTGTTACAAAATCTACAACAACAACACCACCGCAGAGAATAGCGAATGAATAAAGGCACAGATCACAGATACTTTTCCACATAGAAAATCGTGAAAATTGGTTGTTAACTTTATGGTCTGTCTTGGTTGTTAAAATGTTTATTTTTATGTTAGTACTCGTACTTTTATATATACTAGTAAATGTTTATATATATCTTTATAGATATATGTAATATTTTTCTTTTAATTTTTATGTAAAAAAAAAAAAAAACAACAGCACTAACTGAAACTACAGCGTAAAGCAATAATAATACTCGTAACAACAACAATAACAACAACTATAACAACAGCAACGACAACAACAACATCTCATAGTAACATACTTTGGTAGCAGCTGAAAATTTTATCTTGAAATATAAAACGCCATAAATTAGCATCATAAATTTACATTTTGCACTATGTTGACTAATGAATGTAGATACATTTTCTTGCATATGAATTCGTGTAAATAGCTGTTACTTAAGTCTCTATGTATATATATATATATGTGTGCGTGTATGTATGTATGAATGTAATATATTTTATATACATTTGATATTGTCATTTCGTAACTGCATTTATGGCTGGGAAAATGTTGTTAAACAAAGTTGCCTTGTTTGTACCTTAGTTTGCCTTGCCAGCCTTCTTATGTAAAATTTATATACCATAATGCCATATAAAGGATGATGGTATCATAAAGAGTATCATAAAGAATGCTGTAAACTATACTCGAGGCTATGACTTAAGTGTAAAAGCTTTCCTCAGAACATGTTTAATATCGCCTTATTAAATTTCCATTTTAGTTAGTGTTTAACAAACACTACATTTAATTTATTCTTAAAAACTTAAGTAATTAAATTTGTTCTACTTAATGCATTAATAATGCATTTTTTAAGAAATATACGAGCATATAAAAGTTATAATAAAATAGCTAATATATAAAATTAAGCTAGATATAAAAAATTATAGTATTAATTATTATTATTATTAATAATTTTATATAGATTGCCTAAATTGAAGTGCGGCTAATTTTAAACTGTTATAAATTTTAAACAAGTGGCAACACTATATACATATTACGCCTTTTGAAAGTCGATTTTATTGTTAATAAGCAGACGAAAGCATTTTTATTTCAATAAAATTTAAGTGTATTAAATTAAATTTAAGTGTAGAATTAAATATGTTCACATTTGAAGTGTTAATAATCACTTTAGCATAGCCAAAAGGGATATGTGGGGTATAAACACCATGCTTCCTTTCTTCCTAAACTAAAAGTGTACCTAAACTAACATTTTACAATAAAGAAAGAACACATACGGTAACGTTCAAAACAATTACACCTCGATGGTGAAACATTGAGTTTATTAGACCCAGTCGTGCGCATTGATAAATATGAGTTTCTGGCCAAAAGAAATGTTGAAAATATCGCCGAGTGTGTTAAAGAGAAGGATACTCATAAATTTAAGTCTTGTTCTGGATAACCTTTAACTTAGACCAAAAAATCATTACGGTGTCTCATCCTCAAGTGCCGATAAATAATGTACTATGGAAGGTTCAACAGAGCAGGCCAAACCTAGCTTCATGCCCTCCTATAATCCTGTGTTCCGTTGGGACCTATATTATGTCATATACTTCTGTTTTACTTTTATGGCTTCTATTTAGTATAGAAGGCCAAACTTGCCTTCAACCTATGCTATAATCCAATGTCCAGTTAGGACCAATATTATTTTAGATACTTTTGATTTACTTCTATGAACTAAGTCAGGGGTTCTACATTTGAAATATAAATACAATGTTTCTCTTGACCTGGCAGCTGAAGAAATTTTAACCCAATTTCTATGGGCCTGTCACAAAAAAATAGTCGTATATCAATTTTCTACTGTGGACGGCAGGAACAGAGTTTGAAATGCGAGGTTCCATAAAAGAGATAACAAGTCTCCCTCATACGTCCGCTCCTTCCCTGCTATAATAGTATGTTCAAAAATTTAAAATTTAGTTATCTTTTACTTTAATATCCAAATTCGTCAATTCCTAAATAAAAAAAGTAGATTTACTTAAAAGGGAGTTGGTAATAAAATTTACATAGTCGAATTCTAGCAAAGAAACAAGCTTTGTGTTTAACAGTCTTAACAGTCGATGGTTGTTATCCGTTATTCTGTGTGGACCAAGACGTTAATTTTATTGTGAATGACTGTTAGTGGAGAATCGATTCAAGCAAACATAAAAGATAATGGACTCTCAAGAAGATTCTGCTGCATCACCCACAATGGCTAAGAGATAATGTTTAACACTTAATTTCGAAGGCATTATGGTAATAGTACTTAAGATTCATAATCATAATATGACTTAGAAAACTGAAATAGTGTATCAACTCACTCTGTTATGACATTGTAGTAATTATATCCTTTTTTGTTATTCTGTCTATTGTCAAAAATGCAATTCAACTCATTCCTTGCATCCAAAATGTGAATATGAATTTTCTACTACAATGCATTACCGATAATTTCATTTCGTCTTCTAATATTTACAATGTACACAATCTGCCTGACTTAATTTGATGCAATTAACTTTAGTTTACTTGGGTTTTAATTAAGTTATTAATATTAAAGCACACAAATATTAGTAATTAAATGCATTCTAACGAAATTAGAAATGCAAACAAAATTTTACGTATGGAATAATTACTTTTAATGAGCTCGTAAAATATGTTTACCGCAAAAAGCATTTAAGTGTAAAATTGAAGTTCAAAATAGTGTAAAATTGCATAGCAAATTATTGTATTTACAATAATTTGTGTATAAGTTAAAATGTGGTCAAATGCAATAATAACAACAAAACAACAACAACACAACAAAAGCAACAACTACATTACACAGAACAATGTAAATGAAAAAAAATTGTGGAAAAAAAGCACCATAAATTGTTATTAGTCTGACCTGCAATTATTTATTAATGAAATTATTTTACTGTTGTTCGTTTTTTGTCTTTTTTTTTTTTTTGATATAATTTTTTACTGTGTTGCCACGCCTTCAAGCAATTAACACTGAAGGTCGATTTACTAGGTTGAAATGCGCACCCACAATCTAAAAAAACTCAAAACCTTCTAACTGCCAATTTAAAATAATTTTCATAAAATAGAAGTGAAAAACAAATTCAATTTGCAAAATTACAAAAAATTCAAACTAAATTGCTTTGTAATTTATCATTAAAATCTAAACATAATTATTTTTTTTATTAAAATCAATATTTTATCTATTTTTTTTATAGACACGTGGTCGCAAGCCATCAGCTGCAAAAGCTAATAAACTAAATGCAACCGCTTCGACAGTTTCCCCAAGACAACAAATTAATGCTAATTCTGCTATAAGTCCGGCACCAGCTACTGTTTTGCCACATCCATCGCCAAATACGACTACTAATTTAGGTAGTGCTGGTACATTATTGGGTGCTAATCAACAGCAACAATACAATCAACAGCAACATTTGCAACAGCAACAACAACAACAACATCAACAACAACAACAGCATACTCAACAGCAGCAACAACAACAGCTGCCACAAGGCATACAAAATTCTCAACAGCATTTGCAACAACAACATCATCAACAACAACAGCAGCAACAACAGCATCATTTGTCACATCAACAACAACAGCAGCAGCAACAGCAACAACATCAACAGCAACATCACCAACAGCAACAAGAACAATTACAGCAACAACATCAAATTACAGCACAAATACAGACAATGAAAGATCAACCACAACAACCTATGGTAAGTTCAATTTTAAATTATATAAATTTATTAACAATACATCTTCAATACTATAAAAATAATATAAAATATCTATAATAATATAAAATAATTAACAATAAAAAATAAAAAAATATACGTATAAAAATTCAATAATTATAATAATATAGAATACAATAAAAAATAGTTAATAATTATATTTATAATTTAATAATAAATCATAATATATGGTACGAAACACAGAGTCTGGTTTCAAACCTCGCTGAGGCCTTATCTAAACATATTGATTAAAAAATCTTCAAAACATACTTAGTTTCTCTGTTTTAGGAATGTACCAAAAAATTTACAATGAAGTATAAATCCAACTGGTATCGCTAGAGACCAATAGATATATGCGTGACCTTAAAATCACATAAATTAATTTAATCTAACCTAAATTTAAAAAAAAAAATTATTATATATTGGAATTATGTACAGGATTATTCCGTTAAGCGACAATACTAGTCATTACCGTAAGTTCTTATTTTTTTATCATACAGATAAAAAATATAAAATTATATAAATATATAAACAAATAAATATATAAAAATTTTAATATGAGTGAATACAAATATTTAAATAAAGAACTAACTACCTTCAAAAATAGTATATATATTTTTATATTCATATATATAATTTATATTATACTATGAATACAAATATTATATATATCTGGATACAGTATTAAAACAAATTATATTTTTGAAGCAGTCAAAAAAAAATAAGAACGTCGGTAATAATTTATATAAAGAAATTAAAAATAGAACTATAAAATAGGCAAAACATCTTTTATAGGAGTCATCATATTATGCATAATAATTAATGTTACCCATTGGGTTTTTCCTCGAAAATGACGCATCTTATGCCGAAAAGAAAAGTTAGAAGAGTTCGAATAGAAATGAAAAGACAAACTCAAAAATTTTAGTTATTTTATATATTATATATTTTAAAAACCATTTTATAACTAGGGACTTAGAATTTCTCTTTTATAATAATATTAAATTATTTTATTAATAATAATAAAATTGATATTAAATTATTTATTATGATATTATATTTAATATAATTTAAAATATTTATTATTATTTAATTAAATATAATATTATTTAATTAAATTTAATATTATTTAATTAAATTACACTTTAATTTTAAAAATCATTTTAAAAAGCCTTTTATAAATAGGGATTTTAGATTTCCTTTTTTTTTCATATTTTCTTCTAATATTCTAACATAAATTAATATGATTTTCTTCTTCGGCCTACTTTCTTCCTTTAATACCAATATTCCTTGTGCGTAGTTGGTCTTATATATAAGTAATTCTTTTATATGCATTATATAGTGCATGTAGTACTACGTACATATATACTCTGTACTCATAGTTTGGAAATGTACATACAATATTTTATAGAAATTTAATTAATTTAACGTAAAGCCATTAGTGAACTTTTTTTTGTAGATAATTGGACGAACACAGCAAAAAAAAATCAACTAAATTACCCGGAAAGCCAAAGTCGTTATTTAAAAATAAATTCTGTGAAACCAAAAATAAAGTTTCTTATCTATTGTAAATCTTTAAGTATCCTTTTGTACTCGTGTAAACTGGCTGTGAGTATGTGTGAGTAAAATGTGTGTGCACACAAAGAAGCACTTACATCATAAAAGCTTTACAGAAAATTAAATTAAAAAAGAAATCCAATTTCATTTTTTCTCCTCTTCCTCTTTCTTTATTAATTTAAAAAGTAACATAAATAAATAAACAGTGAATGATTATATAAGTTTATTTTTTTTTTTTTATTTTATTTTTTTTTTTGTGCTACAGCTTTTGGGAGTAAGACTTTAGCCACCCAATAGGAAATGTGGGAAACGATGCGAAGCAGCGCACCAAAGAAATCAATAGAGTTATATTCAGAAAATGTTTTCAACAAATTTTTGTTCTTGTAAATGCAATAAATAAAAATATTACAAGTTTTTAAATGAATTTAAAAGAAAATATGCTTGGCTGGGGTTGGAAACTTATTAAAAATATTTTGACTTGCCATGAAAAATGATTTCTGACTTTTATGTAATATTTTTTATGGCTGACATCTTCACCGGGGCGGGCGGATTTCTTAATTTGTGCATTTTGTCAGAGCCACGTGACATTTAGTGCTTTTTATGTAATATGCATTGTATTTTTAAATTACAGAATTTATAACTTTAATTAACAATTAAATTCTTAATCTTACTTGACATTTTAAATGTAATATTCTCACTTCCGATTTATTCCTATTGTAAGTTAATTTCTTCTCTTATATCTTTTTGGACTCTAATCTGCACTTTCCGTAGTTAAAGCAAGAAACGTGGCTTTCATTTTCCCTTTATGCGACACATGCAAGAACACGTGTGCACAGAGTCTTTTTATTTTAATTGAATTAAGATAAAATGCGTTATATTTTTTTCTTTCCATTTTTTATCAAAAGGATTATGCAGTCTTACTGACTTTTCCATACAGTTGAGATGATAATTTTCAGATAAATCAAGAACTCATAGAGGAAAAAAATTAAATTTATTATTGCTTCAGTTGCTTTTGAACTGAAAATTAAGAACAAATGGAAGAGAGAGAATTGAATAAGCAATTAATGTTTCGTATGGGTTGAAACATTTTTACCTGCCTTTCTTCTCTATACTATGCAGGGGTTGTTGTCTTTTTCTATATAGCTGTGTGGTCCTTAACTACTTTTAATATTATTCTCATAGTTTTTTATGGAGCAGGTGATAACCACACGTAACATATACCATTAATGCGTAAACTTGTTTTTCTCATCAAATCTTTTTTTTTGTTCATTAAAAAAAAAAAGCAAAAAAATATACTTAAGTTAAAGTTAATAAAACTGGGCATTTATACTTCAATAAAAAAATTTAATTTTGATAATTATATACTAATAATAATATCAAAAATCAAAAAAAAAATAAAAAAAAATACAATTTATTAAAATAATATAAAATGAATTTTTGTTGTTATAGTTCACACTTTTTAAAAACCTCTTTAAAAAAATTTAAACATGAAATTTAATAATATTGAATACTAATTATAATAAAATAAAACAAAAATAATCGATAAAAGAAAAATAACATTTTAAAGAAAAAACTATAAATAAAAAGTATTAAAAAGTAATTTTTCATCGTAATTTAGTACAATATATTTTTCAAATAAAAACTGTTTTGCAATAAACGTATAATTTTTTATAATATTTTATATATTATGTATAGAGTACTACAGCATATAAAAAATCAAACACAATAAAAAATGACCCCAGGTCTTTAAATAAAATTGCAGACATGTGGTACTAACCCTGTAATTTAAAAACATTATCTATGCAAACATAAATTATAAGCATTTTATCTATAGAAATTGGTACATAAATTTTTATGGATATCAAGTTTCAAAGAAAAAAGTGTATATAAATACATACATACATACATATATATTATTAAAGATATTATTATTCAATAGAAAAGTAATTTAAAAATTTTAAAAGCTAAAAAATATACGTAATTCTAATATGTATATTTCTAATAAATTAGAAATATCTGTGAAATACATAGTAAAATTTTATTTTATATAATTTACTTAATTTCTTTTTAAGTGAAATCCAGTATATAAGTATGTAATTAATATTTTAAACTCTAACCTTTTACAATAATAGAAAAAATATGTGATAATATATCAGTTATAATAGTGTATCCAAAACATTCATGTTTTTAATTAATATTACGATTCGGAAATGTTTTTGTACCGATTTTCATCCCGGTTCAGTTAAAAAAAAATATATTACTTTCATTTATTCTGGTATATGATTTACTTATCAGTTCAAAATAATGATTAACATATACATTATAATTTATCTAATTTTTATGACTTTTTGTTTAGAAACAAGATTATTTATTGACTAACTAACATACACTTTTTAAAACGAACTAATTAAATTTAAAACTTCCATTGAGACTCTTTGATACAATAACATAAGTATCTTTCATTAGAAAAATTTATTTTTAACAAGAACTTTTTTTTTGTATTCACATATACTTTCCAAAAAATCCAGCTAGCCATACAAATCTTTGGACCAAAGTTTTATTGTGCAATTACTTGAAGCACAACTAATTATGTCACTGAAAAATTTATAAAATTCTGAAGACGTTAATGACGGTACTCTGAGTCACCAATAGCCAGTAAAGATTTTCTTCAAAAAATCGTCCCAAGTCGGTAGTACAGAACTAAAATTGCTGAACCGTTGCCTGACAGAATCTCTATACTGCACTAGAGGTTATATTAAGATATATTACAGAATATCTTCTCTGATCAAGACTTCAATCACATTCTTTGTGTCAAACCCACTTTGACATAAACATAAAGAATAGAGTTAGCATATTTAAGCAGATTATTACTACTACTTTATGGCAGTATTGCGTTTTGCCAAACGCCAAACTCAACTTTAAAAATTCTTCAAAGAGGGCAAAATATTACCTTACGAAAACTGGTTAACGCCCCATGGTACGTAAGAGGAGCGGATATCCACAGAGATCTGAGAGTCGATTCAGTCGAAAAATACATTAAAGATCGTGCTCTGAAACTGTTCAATATAATTGACAGTCACAATAATCCAACTCTCAGCATCCTAAAAATACAGCGAAATTTGATAACCACAGGCAGATACAAAGACATCAGTTCCATCATATTACTTAAAACTTAATCATATGTGACTTAAAACTGTCCACAGATAAATTAGAGTAAAGGTGCTGATTCACCAACTCAGACATCTGAATATCAACTTTGATCTGAGATAGATATCAAACTGGACTAGGAACTCCTATCCTTAACACATTGTAAAAAATTATTCTTATATTCTTAGAATCAGTTGTTAGCATAGGGAACAAATATAAAACTAGAATCTTAATATTAGAGACATTTCGTACAGGACGAAAGATCTCTCACTAAGAACTTT